AAAGTTTGAATAGGAGAAAAGGTAAAAAAAGACAAAATCCAGCATTACGTGCTATGGTAGCTTATAAAGTCAGTACATTTGTAGTGCCTCCACGTTCGTTTCGGGTGGAGTAACAGATGTTCTTCTAGCCAAGGGGCTGATAAAATGCCAGTATCACGTGATGAAGAATGGTCATGTGGAGCTGTGCATGTATACTTCGTTCATTACTATACAGGTCGGCAATGCCAAGGCCTTGTCCACCACTATTTCCCGACGATTCCCATAGCTCATCATCAGTCCACATATAGCTAACAGAGGGAGAAAGAACACCTAGATTAAGTTTTGAAATGTGATAGCAAGAAAAAAAATCTTTTAATCGGTCTTTCTCATGCCCAGACTATGATGGATTAGGCGGAATGGACTGACTCCGCCTGAAGTTGTCCAATGAGATAATGTGCTCTCCTCCGACCAATACCAGCCAAATGCCTTGGGATTTTTATCCAGCTATGGTCAACCGTGATCGTTTTACGCCTTAAACGTTTTGTTCTATATTCATTACCATCTGAGGAAAGAATTAGGCATGCGCCAAATCTACTTTGGTGGAGTAGGGGGGCCAATAAAACCAATCCCAACATTCTTAGTGACCAAGTATCTATTGTTAGGTGAGCATTTATTTCCAAATGAAGTCGGCGATAACTTAAAATTTAAACAGAAAAGGGCCCAAAAACGTAAACAATAAGGGACGGCATCCGTGGAAAAGGACACCACTCTCAGTGCCGACGAAAGTGTACAGATTCCAGCTACGTATATAAAGTATCCATCAGGCCTTTGCTGCTGAACTCCTCGTCAAACTTATCGTTCGCCTTTGCTGCATTTTCTAAGTACTGATACGTCACTTGTGACTTATCGACCGCAGCCAAGGCTTGCGCGATAGAAACAAGATTTTTAATCTAGGGTAGAACCAAGTCAATAAAAGCTGGGACATAATCATTACGTTGAGACACACATCGCGGCCGTTCAGCTTCGTGGATGCCAGGCGATCGAGCTCGCTGGGTTCGACGACAGGCGGGCCTTGCGCAGTACGAGCGTCGGCAAGGAAGCTTGTCAAAATTCCCCGTCGCGCATCCTTGGTCAAATCGGCGTATTTGATCTTTAGATGAATACGGCTCAGAACAGCTTCTTCAAATTCCATCACGCGGTTGGTGGTGAGAAAGAGGAGGCCTTCGTAGTATTCGAGCTTCCGCAGGAAGATGGTCACCAAGCGGTTGTGATTACTATGGTAGGATGCACGGTTATCCATGAACACACCCGCTTCGTCTATTAGAATGGTTGCATTGAAGTGCTTCGCGATGTGAAAGATTCGATCAAGCACCATGTCCAATTGAAGGGGATCATCATGATCAGCGATCAACTCGCCGGCAGAAACCTACATAGTGAGCACAGCACCGAGAATTAATTGAAATGGCTGCATATACCGAATAGAGGGGGACTTGGAAATATTCGGCAGTTGCCTCGACAGTGAATGTCTTTCCGACCCCCGGCACTCCGCTGTGGCACAGGTTTGGTCAGAAATACGTTTCAGGTGCCTTCAGCCTTCACGGTTCAACCTTTCGCCACCAACTACAAGTGGATTCTAGTCGTCACGGTAAGTAGCCTCTAACCAATATAGCTAACTGACCGCAAAGCTCCTTGGACGAAGCCCGGGCGTAACACTTGGAAGCAGATACCCTGTCCTAGAGTATCACTGAGGCGGCCGTATGTGACTTACGAGCGTTCATTCTCCCTCTTCTGGCTGTTCGAGAGTACATCACACCGGACACCAGTGGCTTCTTGTCTCCAGGTTTGTACCGTAAATAGCTACCTGGTAGGTAGAAGCTCAAAAAGGACCTGGTGTTACACTATTATATTAGTCAGGAGAGAGTATCAGCTAAAATGGC